TAGAAGAGTACTCTCTATGTGCCGCTAGATATTTAGCTACAGAAACAGCATAGACATAGTCCCTGCCACCAAGGAGCTTATATTTTCCCTATCTCACAAGGCTCTTGTGAAGATCAAATGTAAAAACACTGTGCAAACTGTAACACTATACAAATTGCAAAGTAATATAATAATTATTATTAACTTGCTCTACCTCTTAACCCTCACCTTTATTACAACAGCTTATCAAGGTTCAAAAAATAAAGTGCAGATGATTAGATACAACAGTTAGTCCACTATCTACTGAACTGATTTTCCTAAGGGCTGGGATTTCAAGAGCCTAATAAATCACTTTGTTCATATAGTCTTAGCTAATGACTCTCTACATAATCATGACAATAAAATGAACTGAGAATTAAAGGCTTGTAGTTTCACTCCAGGTATGGGGTGGGTATGTTGGCTGCATTACCACACCTGGCCAGGGAGTAAAAAATAAAGATTTCTAGGCCCCGTGCAAGACCTACTGAATCATAACCTTTAAAGGGTGAGCCTGAGAATCCATACTTTTGACAAGCACACCCAGTGATTCTTACGCTCACTAAAGCTTGAGGATCACTGCCATAAAAACTTCCTTTGATCAATAACCATGATTTCAAACACCATTTACAAAACCTACCTGGAAAATCTAAGCCAAATAGAATTCAGCTACAACTGAGAAAGCAGATCCTAAGAATGTACTTTTTTAACTCATAAAAATATTTCATGTGGCCCCAACCTCTTTTTAGTCAATTTTCAAATTTTCACATAAAATTTTAAAAAAACAAAAACAAAAAAAGAATGCCCATGACATATTTATACGTTTTTAAAATAAATTATCACTAAACAAATATATATACACCCACAAACATCTTTTTCTTATGGTTTAACTTTAATACAGAAAAGCTATATTATCTTGTAGCTATCAAGAAGTAAGGTGGGACTTCCCTGGTGGTGCAGTGGTTAAGAATCACCTGCCAATGCAGGGGACGTGGGTTCGAGCCCTGGTCCGGGGAGATCCCACTTGCCACGGAGCAACTAAGCCCATGAGCCACAACTACTGAGCCTGTGTTCTAGAGCCCGCGAGCCACAACTACTGAAACCCACGCACCTAGAGCTCGTGCTCTGCAACAAGAGAAGCCACCGCAATGAGAAGCCCGCGCACCACAACGTAGAGTAGCCCCCACTCGCCGCAACCAGAGAAAGCCCGCACGCAACAACAAAGACCCAACGCAGCCAAAAATAAAATTAATTAATTTTTTTAAAAAAGAAGTAAGGCATATACTCTCTGCCTAGCATAAATATATCATGATATTGAACGCTTACAAGCCAACCTTAGGGTCCATGCTTACTGAAGACCATATTACCCAAACACCAAAGAGACAAAACAAACTAGCCAACAGACAAACCTAATCTCTCAAAAATAGACAGTACAATATCCATATCCACTGCACACTTAAACCCTCCTAAGGGCATCTCTCAAGAAATCAATCAAGAGCCCTTGAAACTATCTTAACCTTAAGAAAATCACCTGAAGTCTAATATTTCTTAACACGCTATATGATTAGTGCAAAGACGTATTTATTTTGGTTCTATTTGTTGAAAGCATCCTTCACTCACTAGTCTCCAAGTGTGTATACATCAAAGGGAAGACACTCAATATATGTTACACTGGAAAAATTACAAGGTGAAGGCTAACATTGCCATTCAAGAAAACTTTCCATCTGCAGTAAAATTCAGAGCCCAGAAGGCTTGTTCATACTCCAGCACCAAGCCCTGCAACATGACTCTTTCCCTAACCAGTTAGAATCTAGTCAGTTTTGAAGGGAGAAAGGACAAACCAAACCATATTGAATTTAATTTAATGACTTCTCCTAGATTCAGTTAGGACAAGGCCTTGGTAAGCAGCCTTTAAAGAAATGCACAGAAAAAATGCTCTTTTTTGTCCAGGCTTTTATTCTCATAAATCTCATCTGTTCTTTCAAACCTCTATCAGTTGTCCAAACTACTGCAATATATGAAAATTGGAATACAATAATTTGCATATTGGAGGAAAGTGTCTAAAATCGGGAAAAGTCTTAATCAACAATTATCTGTTTAAGAAGGTCCAGACATCCACCTATAACTCAATACAAACTACATCTACACAATAATAATCTACCTATGCCTACTCTGACCCTACTTGGCACTTCATCAACATGCAAAGCTTACCTGGGACAACAGAGAGGTTAATTTAAGGAACATGGGTGAGAGACAGAGAAAAGTGTTGCCTAAAGAATGCTTTAGGAAAATTAGCATCAACCTAACCAAGATCAAAACAAGTAGCAGATACAGATATCCCTCAAGAACAATGTCTGTTTGGTCTCTGTCTTCCTCCTCTCACTTGAAAACCTAAGGAGAAGATGTAGACTTTGGAAGAAGGGAAGGACAGAGAAAGAAACTGTATAGTTGAGGACCCAAACAATTTACCACCTATCTTGACTCTGTTACAACTATCACTATTTTCACTATAGTAGCAGAGAAACTGCAAAGAATTTGGAAATCAAAATACAGTTGGAAGGTGAGAATCCAATGCCAGGTAGATGTCCAATCATCACAACATTCCAGAAAAAGGTTCTCTAAGCAAAGAGTGCTCTTTTTGCCCCACCCACTAAAAGAGAGAAAGTTGTCTACTCATCACCACTAAAATGTAATGTCTTTTCTCTAGAAGAAGAAATGGGCCTAGACTGGAACCTGGGCCTGAGGCAAGTCCTTCTGTCTGTCTGGGGAATCATCTGAGGTCTCCTTTAGAGTACCTAGTTTATATCTGGACTCTGCTGCAAAAACCACAGTACTCTACTCCAGTAAAGAGTAAATGATTTAGAACTTTATGATAAATTTATAATTTTAAATAAATACTTCAGTTTTAAATTTAAAAATAAACAGCTGGATACAAAGTTAACTTCCAAAGGGAAAGGAAAATGACAATTCCAAGAGCTTCTATCAGAAGGAAACATCAGCCACAGATTTTGAGTTATCTAGAAAGAAAAGAATTAGGTGCCCAGGTACAAAGCAGAAGGTCACTACTGCATTCTGCATCTGAATGCCCTGACACCCAAAAAATTAAGAATATATTGCCAGAGTACCAGAAAAGTCATAGGACATTAACAGAAAAAAGAACGCATCTATTTACAGGAAGGACAGAGGATAGGTATAATAGCTTCAAACGCTTACTTTGGTGAACTACTCTTTCTTGAGGTGGAAGGTAAGAGGAAACAGAATGAATGGATATCATAGAGTAAGAATGTCAAGGATAAGGGTAAGAGGCATAAGCTGAATAAGAAGGGATAGACTACTCTATAGGTCCTTCAAAATACTTATCCCATTGAAACCTTGGTCAAACCTACTGTATAAACCTACTGTTCTACTAGAGGAAAGACTGAAGGTTATGGAAATTATCGTTAAAATAACATTTATAATAATGAGAAAGAGGGAATTCCCTGGCGGTCCAGTGGTTAGGACTCTGCGCTTTCACTGTGGTGGGCCTGGGTTCAATCCCTGGTGGAGGAACTAAGACCCCTCAAGCCGCGCGGAGTGGCCAAAAAAAGAGAGAGAAAGATTCATGAGGGCAAATCCTAGCACTGAAAGAGAGGGCAAAAGTGTGAAAAAAGAATATACAAGAGTCAGTAAGCAGGAGAGAGATACAGGATTGAAGACTGCTGAGGAGAATGGAGACAATGAGCGCATACACCACCTACCAGTCAATCAGCAATCACTATACAAATCTTAATACAAAGTACAGAAACACAAATGTAACACCTGGATTAAAGGAGTAGGAGGAGGTCTGCAAAGAAACTGCAAGGCAGGGCAGCATCCTGCCGGAGCTTTAAGGTATTCGGTGAGGAAGTAAGGATGAAGGAATATGAAGCAGGAGGCACTGCAGCAAGGAAAGAGGATGGGTTTCAACATGAAGGAGCCTAAAAAAGAGAAAGAAGGGAAAACAACCTCAGAGAGAAAGAATAGGATAAAGTCAAGCATGATATCACAAGAGAACAGACTAGAAGAGAGAATGAAAATGGCATGCCCTGAAAAAGTGGGGAGGTCAAAGACCCAAAAGGGGCTGTAGTTTGGGGGAAGTAGGAGCTAAGGAGAGCTCTACCATAAACCCGACTAAAAAAAATATGAGTATGGTGCAGAAGTGAAGACAGTGGCCAGAACAGGGATGCTCTCAGAGGGATGTGGTGATGGAGACACTAGATTCAAAATACTGGTGTGATAAGGGGACTACTGTGAAGAGAAACTATCGTGTCAAAGACGACACCACCATCAAAAAAAAAAAAAACCAAGGGTCAGAAAAGAAGGTATTCTCAGAGTATGAATACAAAAAAGAGGGGAGGAAAGGGACACACGGTAGGACAGAAAAATATAGAGAGTGCTTAACCATAAGGAGAGGGTAACTAAGGAAAGAAAAAGGAGTGCAGCGTGGAGGGATGATGTTTCCGGAAGAAAAGTAGGAGCCGACCAAAGGTCCTGCCTATTTGGTTTAGAGGGCAGAAGGGACGGTCCACGGGGGCTAAAAGGAGTGGTGGAGAACAAGAAACTATGATGCTCAAGATGAGAACTTGGGGAGGACACACAGTGGCTGGGTCAGAAAAGGAGATGCTGTCAGTCAGAAGCAGAAAGAGGTTCAACAAGAGGAAAGCAAGGGGCACCGAGGAGCAGAAAGCAGCATGCCAAAGGGGAAGGCAAGGGGGCAGAAAAGAAGCCAAAGCAATGGGGGCAGGGGTAAAAGCAGTAGGGGCGCTGGGACACTGGAGATACAGGGAGGGTGCTGGGGTCCCAGAAACCCGGGGTGTGGGGAGGTAAAAGGGCCAACCTCCATGGAGGGGCGGGGGGCCGGTTCGGGGGTTGAGGGGAGGTGCGGCCTGAGGGTGACAGGGGTAGAGGGGAAATGCAGGGACAGACAGAAGGGAAGGGGTGGGGCGGCGGGCAGCCCCGATACTCACACCTCCAGAATGCGGTCCCCCTTGCGCACCCCGGCCCGGTCGGCCGCCCCCCCGGGCAGCACGGCGCTCACATGCTGCAGCGGCGCGTACAGCTCCCCGTTGATGCTCCGCAGTTGCCCGCCCTCGCTCACTTGGCCCCGCACGTTGAAGCCGTAGCCGGACTCGGACTTGACGATGCGCACAACCCGCGGGCCGCCGCCTCCCCCGCCGCCGTTCCCGGCGCAGTGGAGCCCAGACCCCCCACCGCCGCCGCCGCCGCCACCTCCGTTCCTGTGAGGGGCTGAGGGGTGAATCCCTTCCCCGTCCTCATCCGCCATCTTGCGAGCGAGCAAGCCGTACTCCCACCACCCTACGCCTCCACTCCCTCCGCGCGTGCTCGGCCTTCTCAGCAGCCGCGCGACCCCCGGCGCGCGCGCCCGCTCCGCCGACGGCGGGACCCGAGTCGGCCACGGAGCTGCCGGCGCGGGTAAAGGGGAGACAGGGGGCGGGGGGAAAGAGGACGGTTTAGACGCCGTGAAGCCTCCTGGGAGTTGTAGTTTCTGAATGGTGGGGGCGGGGAGAGGGCTGGGCCCGGGCCGGAGCTGAGGTTATGTGACGCGATTTGGGCGCAAAGCCTGCTGGGGGTTGTAGTTCACCTTTCAAGCTCTTAGGAGTGTCCTTTTGGATGGTGAGCAGGTAACCCAGCCTGGAGTGGAGGTGACAGATTCATCTGCTAACGTGGAGGATGTTTTATTTTTCTTTCATTTCATAATCTTTAAAAAACAATAATATTAGGACAACTTGATGTTTGTGTCAACATAGTCTTAAATTATAACAACTCGTTTGCTCAGTACCTTATGTGTCTACATACTTTTTTTTTTTTCAGTCCCCGCAGGCTCGCAGGCGGAATCTTAGTTCCCTGACCAGGGATGGAATCGGCGCCCCACCCCCACCCGCTCAGTGGAAGCGGGAGTCTTAACCACTGGACCACCAGGGAAGTCACTATATACATTATTTTATTGAATGACCCCAACAATCTTGTGAGACAACTGGGTCATGAATTCGCTTCTCTATTTCAGTATTGGGAAACTGAACCAAAGTCATCCAGCTGTTAAGTAACAGGAACCAAGGCCCAGTTATTTTTGTGCAACTTTCTTTTCATATATTGCAACTACAAAAAAACTTGCCCCATCTATGTAAAAAAGCATATGTGGAGGAAACTATATGGTCTCAGTGATTTAGACCTGGACATTAGAGTGTCCAAGTAATAATTTCAATTGAGCAATGATTTTGTTTTTTAAGTTTTAAAATATCCATATTTTTTTTCTTATTGAAATATAGATGATTTACAATATTATGTAAGTTTCAGGTATACAACGTAGTGATTCACAATTTTTAAAGATTATACTCCATTTATAGTTATTATAAACTATTGGCTATATTCCCTGTGCTGCACAATATATCCTTGTAGCTTATTTATTTTATACACAGTAGTTTGTACCTCTTAATCCCCTACCCTTATCACGCTCCTCCCCCCTTCCCTCTCCCCACTGGTAATAACTAGTTTGTTTTCTGTAACTGAGAGTCTGTTTCTTTTTTGTTATATGCACTACTTTGATTTATTTCTTAGACTCCACGTATAAATGATAACATACAGTATTGAGCAGTGATTTTGAAGTTACCGTTATTTCAAATTCATTTTGTTTCCCCCAACAACACAGTAGAGTTCTGTGCATATGGCAGCAATTGATGTTTTTGGCTATCTACCCAAACACAAACTTGCAGATATTGTGCAGAATGCCTGGCAAAGGCAAGTAAGAAGAGCAAGAGCAAAAATAATGAAAAATAGCATACTTAAGCACTTAACTGCTCAAGTCTGGTATTTGATTTTACTCTACTGACAGGCTAATAAATTAGTTTGTTACTGTATCATGGATGCTGATAAAAGACACAGAATTCCTGGGTCAGAGACAAAGGACTTTTACTCGCGACATAGGGAGCAACTTGAGCTTCAGCCCCTTTGTATCAATTCCTCTTGCCCCCCCCCCCAAATGCCACAGGGATGACATGAAGGGCTCAGATGAATGCTGTGCACTTGGTGGGCTTACACCACAGCTGGGGAACCCGCTGTTTTGTCGGAAGCAGTAAGCAAACCTGTTCTTTGTCCTGGAGGGAGAGCTTACTTCAATACTCACAGCTGCTAACTGTAAACATAACCCTGAGAAATGACCCTGGTAAAAAGCGGTCAGGGCTTTGCATTCTTGTCATACCCAGGAAGATGGGTAGAAGCATGAAAGACCCATGAAGGACTGTCTCTCTCAACGTAGCTATGTGCCAAACACTATTCTAAGCACTTTTTTTTTTTTTTTTTTTTGACTGTGTTGAGTCTTCGTTGCTGCGCACGGGCTTTCTCTGGTTGTGGCGAGCTACTCTTCTTTGTGGTGTGCAGCCTTCTTATTGCGGTGGCTTCTCTTGTTACAGAGCAGAGGCTCTAGGTGCACAGGCTTCAGTAACTGTGGCACACAGGCTCAGTAGTTGTGGCTCGCGGGCTCTAGAGCGCAGGCTCAGTAGTTGTGGTGCACGGGCTTAGTTGCTCCACGGCATGTGGGATCTTCCCCGACCAGTGATCGAACCCGTGTCCCCTGCATTGTCAGGCGGATTCTTAACCACTGCACCACCAGGGAAGTCCCCTCTCTCTTTTTTAAATCCCTGCAACAAATACACCTTCCAGTGACCCCATCTCCCCTTCAGTGAGTCACACGCTTTTGTAATACCCTCCCCTTGACTGTGGGCAGGACCCGTGACTTGCTTCTAGACAATAGAATATAGTGAAGATGATGATGTGTCACTCCCATGGTTACAGGTACATTATATAACATTCCTTCTTAGCTGACTGGGGTGAGAGCCTCTTGCTGGCCCTAAAGAAGAACGCTGCCATGTTGCGAACTGCTGGTGAAGAAGGCCCATGACAGGGAACTGCAGGAGTCTCTAGGAACTGAGAGTTGCCCTGAGTGGACATCGAGAAAATAGGGCCCTCAGTCCTAAGCCTGCAAGAAATTCTGCCAACAACCTCGTGAGCTTGGAGGAGGATTCTTGGCTCCACTAGGGAACATAGCCCAGCCAGTGCCTTGATTGCAGGCTTGTGAGACCCTGCAGAGGACCCAGCTAAGCTGAACCCTGACTCCTGGACCACAAAAGTTGTGAGATAATAAATGTGTATTGTTTTAAGCTGCTAAATTTGTGGTAATCTGTTACAGGACAATAGATAATGGATATAACTCCTGTTGCATCTATGGTCAGTGCTACTCAGTTTAGATCAATTTAATACTTAGTTTAGCTTTACCTTTCCAATCTGAACATAAGCTTCTTGAAAACAAGGAACTTGTTACATGTGACTTGTCATGCCCTCAGAGTGTATCAGAGTGAGAGGCACAAGAGAAGGAGCTCAACAAAGGTTGATAGAATGTTAGTCCAGGAAAGGACCATAAAGTGGCTAATAATACCTGCTGCATAGGGACATGGTGGGGACCAAATGAGAATATGTGGGAAACACCTAACATAATATTAATACTTAGCACAGAGCTATTATTAAGAGTACTAATAGGGAGGGAGGCTCAGGAGGGAGAGGATATATGTATACACATAGGCTGATTCACTTTGTTGTACAGCAGAAACTAACACAACATTGTAGAACAATTATAATCCAATAAAAAATACTAATTAATATCACATCTAGCCCTATTCCGTCATTTTGCTGGTAAAGGAATAGCTCCCTCCACTATCACCCTTTGAAAAAGGAAGTAGATCCAGCAAGGTACAATGATTTTCAAAAGTCATTCGGCAGGGCTTCCCTGGTGGCGCAGTGGTTGAGAGTCCGCCTGCCGATGCGGGAGACTAAGGGTTCGTGTCCCGGTCTGCGAAGATCCCACGTGCCGCTGAGCGGCTGGGCCCGTGAGCCATGGCCACTGAGCCTGCGCGTCTGGAGCCTGTTCTCCGCAACGGGAGAGGCCACAGCAGTAAGACGCCCGCGTACCACCAAAGAAAAAAAAAAAAAAAAGTCACTCAGCAGATCAGTGGCCAGCACCCAACCCTAAGCAGAAAAATTAAATGGCGTGAATGAGGAAATAAGGCATGCCATTTCCCAGGGAGTCATGAGTTGAAGAAAACAAAAAGAGAGCTCTTTTTTTAGGCCTTTGCACTAATTCTGACTCTTTTTTCGCTACCTTTCTGTACTTTTTTCTGTGAAGACCACATGAAAAATCACTTTTTTGGTAAACTGAATTAACTGATTTGCTAGAGTGGATAAGACCTAGAGACTAGAGGGTTTATGAATCAAGATTCCTTTAGTTGCAAGTGACAAACTCAATTCAAATTAGCTTAAGCAAAAAAGAGAATTTATTGGTTCACATAGCTAAGGAGGACACCGGGTATTTCCTTAATTGTAGCTGTGTAACAAACCATCCCAAAGCTTAGTGGTATAAAACCATCGATTTATTATTCTATTGGACTCTGTGGGTCAGGAATTCAGATCGGATACATAGGGATGACTTGTCTCTGCCCCTGCTTGATGCCTGGAGCCTCACTTGGGAAGACAAAGGCTAGGGGTGACTCGATGGCTGGGTTCATCTGGAAATGTCTCATTTCTGGTGGTTGAGGCTGGCTGTCTGCTGGGACCTCATCTAGGGCTGTCAGCATGACTCCTATACATGGTCTCTTCATGTGGCTATCGGCTTCTTCAAGCATGGTGCCTGGTTTCCAAAATCAGATGTCCCAAGAGAGTAAAGCAATAGTGTATGGCGTTTTTATGACTCTGTGTCAGAAGTCATATAGCAGCACTTCCACCATACTTTTTTGGTCCAAGTGGTCATAAAGGTCTGTCCAGGTGCAAGGGGAGGGGATATAGACACCACCACCCCATGGAAGGAGTATCGATGTTGCAGTGTAATTAGAGTATATGGGATGGGATATATCATGGTGGCCATTTCTGGAAAACATAATCTGCCACACTGGGATAGCTCATAGATTTAAAGCAAATGCTATAGGAACCTAGGCATTAAGGTCTGACACAGAGAACTCAAGGTCATCTTCCTCTTTTTCTTCTGCCTTTCATTTTTGCTCATCTCTGTTTCTCTATGTCTATTAGCAAAAAACACCTTGTTTTTTCGCAGTGTCTGTATCTAATTTCCTAGGGAAGGACTTTTGCCATTCCTTGAGTCATGTGCCTACCACCTGGACTGATTGAAGTTGCCTGGAGAATGAAGAACTGTGATTGTCCAAACCAGGATCACATGCCCAGCTCACATGTCTAAAAGAAAGTTTGCTGTGTAGGCTCTGAGGAATAGCTAGTACCATCTGCCACAGGTTTAATGTAAGTGAGCGTTGATGTCAGCTTCGTGTGTAATTATAATTATGTTAGTTTCCTATCAGTATTCTGTAGTTGCAGTATTTCAAAGC